GCCACCGCAAGCCAGACAAGCGGGGGGTGGGGCGTTCACTCCAACGCAGAGCGTCATGGCCCAAATCGTTCAATTTCGCGCTGGGGACTGGGGCGCCCCAGAGCAGAAATGCGCGATCCGTCCGCGCGAAGTTTTGCGAACCCCACCACGGGAGCAACTGCTGCTCGCCCCAAGCCCGAACGGCGGTCGCTCCCAGTTGCACCAGCGGGGGCCTACAGTAGCAGCGCTAACAAGGAGCGCCAGGGCGAGCGCGGGGACAGGGTAGTGTGACTCGTCGTGGGCCCGCCGTCAGTGCCCGCCGCCTGCCGCCGACCAGCCAGGACAGCAGCTCCAAAGCCTAGCACCGGCGCCCTGTCCAGCCAGCAGCATCACACGAGCAAGCAGCACCAACGCCACCAACAATTCCACTAGAACGAGCACGACGGGAACATGCAGCACCAGGCGATCCGCGCTGGACTGCGCGAGCGCCCCCCTCCCCCCACTGGCGAGGCCGGCGAGGGGGGAAGCGCCCCTCGCCCCAGCGCAACACGTTTCGGCCCACCTCGTTTGATTTTGCGCTGGGCACCGACGGCGCCCCAGGGCACAGCCCACAGCCTGTCCCACAGGAGCCGGCGATCGCCCCTCGCACCGCAGTCCACGCGGCCTGGCAGAGATGCGCACGACGATCCTCGACGCGTCGGTCAGCACCACGAGCGAAACGAGCAGCTCCACTCTGACCAGCCTAACAGAAATCAGCATCGCCACCACCAGCAGCAGCACAAGCGCCACCAGCGCCACCAGCAACGGAGCCACCAGCAGCGCCACTTTGAGGAGAATCGCGAGAAACAGCAACACGACACGCAGAAACACCAGCAACCAGCAACACCACCTGGACACGCACACTGGGAACCAGTAGTACGACGCGCACCAAGTCTGGCGCAAACAGCAAAACTACCGCGACGAGAACTACAGCAGCATCGGCGACGCCACCAGCAGTGCTGAGAGCAGCAGTGGCAAAAGCGACGCCAGTAGTTAGCTCTACGGCCCGCGCGACAGCAAGCAGCAAAACCACGCACAGCAGTACGAGCGACCCGAGCAGCTCCAGGATGACGACGCGACGAGGAGCAGCAACCGCACGCGAAGCAGCATCAACGCCGCCAGCACCGCCACTGCAACGAGCACGACGGCGAGCAGCGGCGCCAAGCGCAGCAGCACGAGCGCGAGCGGCACCACTGCGACGAGCACAGCGGGAAGCAGCTGCGTCACGCAAGGCAGTACCATCACCACCAGCAGTTCCACCAGAACGAGCACCACGGGAACAGCAGCACCAGGCGATTCGCGCTGGAGTGCGCGAACACCCCCACCCCACCCAACGGCGAGGCTGGCGAGGGGGGAAGCGCCCCCTCGCCCCAGCGCAAAACGTCACGGCCGGATCGGTCGATTTTGCGCTGGACACTGGGGGGCGCCTCAGGCAAAGATGCGCAGCCCCTCCGTGCGAACGCTTGGCTGGAAGGTGCGAGCCCCGCCACGGAAGCGACTGCTGATTTTCCCAAGCCCGATTGGCGGTCGCTCCCAGGGGGAGGGGTTGCGCCAGCCGGGGCCTACAGTAGCAGCGCTACCCAGGACAGCCACGGCAAGGGCGAGGTCGGGGTAATGGCTCGTCGCGGGCCTTCCGTCAGCGCCCGCCGCCTGCTGCTGCCTGTCCCAACCAGCAGGTCCAGCACCCAGCACCAGCGCCCTGTCCGGCCAACAACGGCGCCTAACCTGGCCAACAGCGGCCCCTGGGCAGCGCCCTCCCACCGTGGTCGTCCAAGGCGTCCAGCGGCTGCCGCGCAGCTGGCGTCGCCATTGCCCGCTGCAGCTGCGGATCGCCACGCGTCAGACGTGTAGCAGAAATGCGAGCGCAACGAACAAATTACACTGTGATCAGCACGACAAGAAACATCAGCACCACTCGCTGCAGCAACAGCACCAGCAGCGCCTCTGTCAGTAACCCGAGAAAGACTAGCAACACCACCAGTGCGACCAGCTCGACAGGAACCAGCAGCACCACCAGCAGCAGCGCGAGCGCCACCAGCAGCACTGCAATAATACAACCAACTCTAGCGCCGCTGGTCGCACCTTTGTGACCATAACGACAGCAAGCAGCACCACCACGCACACCAGCGCCATAATATGTAGCTTTGTGACGAACACGACGGGAAACAGCAGCGCCACGCGCAGCACCACTAGCGCCACCAGCACCACCAGCACGACTCCCAGCTCGAGCGCAAGCAACAGCAACACTGCGACCAGCAAAACGGTAACCGGCAGCACAAGCGTAGCAAGCAATACCACTGTGACCAGCACGTCGGGAACCAGCTGCACCAAGCGCAGCAGCACGAACGCCAATAGCAGCGCCAGTGACCAGCAGGACGGATAGCAGCAGCACTACGCGCAGCACTACAATCGCCACCAGTAGCACCATTGTAACCAGCACGGCGGGAAGCAGCAACAATACGTTCACCAGCCCAATCGCAACGAGCAATACAAGTGTGACGAACATCACTAGAGACAGCAGCCTTCCGCGAAACAGCAGCACCAGTGTGACCAGTACGACAGGAAGACACAGCAGAACAAGTAGCACTACGGGCGCCATCGGCAGCACCACTGCGACCAGCTAAACGAGAAACAACAGTACTACACGCACCAGCACAAGTGTAGCGAGGAATACCACTGTGAGGAGCATCGCTGAAGTAGCACCACTGCGACCAGCACGACGGAAATCAGCATCACAACAGGCAGCACTACTAGCGGTTCCAGCAGCACCGATGTGACCAGCAAAACGATAACCAGTAGCACAACGCGAAACAATACAAGCGGCACCTTGGCACCAAACTGGCCTCGGATGGGGCCGTGATCCGGAAGCTTGTGCAGCCCACAAGCTTGCGAGGCTTCGGCACCCATGGCGTTCGCAATCAAGATGTGGCCTGGCAGGCGCCCCAGCGATGGTACAGCCTATTATCAAGGCGAGAAGGGCATTTGCAATCAAGGGTGCGGCTGGCGCCGAAGCGGCAGCGGCGCCAGGCGAGACCAGCATTCCGAACCGAGACCACAGCCCGCGCTGAGGCGAGAACAACAATCGCAATCATGCGCGCGGCCGGCGCCCACGACCTGGGCGAAAGCAGCATTCCGAGTCGAGAGTGCGGCCCGCGTTGAGGCGAGAACAAGTATCGCAACCATGCGTGCGGCCGGCGTCTAGGCGAAAGCAGCAATTTCAATCAGATGTGGCCAATGCCGCAGCGAGAACGACATGCTCAGTGAAAGATGTGGCCGGCGCCTGGGCGACATCCACATTGTTCATCAGACATGTGACTCGCGCCACAGCGAGAACGACATGATCAATGAAAGATGTGGCTGGCGCCTGGGCGGCAGCAGCATTTCCCATCAGACAGGTGAGAGGCACCACAGCGAGAACGACATGCTCAATGAAGGATGTCGTCGGCACCGAGGCAACAATGACATGTTCAATCAGACATGTGGCCTGCGCCAAGGTGAGAACGACATGCTGAAAGAAGGTTGTCGCTGGCGCCTCGGCGACAGCCACATGTTCAATCCAAGATCTGGCCAGCGCCAAGGCGACAATGACATGCTCGATGAAGGATGTCGCCGGCGCCTAGGCGACAACATTATTTTCAATCAGACTGTTGGCTTGCGCCAAGGCGAGAACGACATTCTCAATGAAGGACGTCGTTGGCGCCTACGCGGCAGCCACATTTTCCATCAGAGATATGGCCCACGCACAAGCGAGAACAACGCGCTCAATGAAGGATGTCGCTGGAGCCTAGGCGGCAACAACATGTTGAATCAGATATGTGGCCCACGCACAGGCGAGAACAAAACGCTCAAGGAAGGATGCCGCCGGCGCCTAGGCGATAGCAACATGTTGAACTAGTGATGTGGCCGAACAGCACGCTCAATGAAGGATGTCGCCAGCGCCTAGACGACAGCAACACTTTCAATCAGAGATGTGGCCACGCACAGGCGAGAACAACACGCTCAATGAAGGATGTCGCTGGCGCCTAGGCGAGAGCAACACTTTCAATCCGAGATGTGGCCCACGCACAAGCGGAGCATCATTCTGAGACAAGCGTGTCGCCAGAGTGCAGGTGTCACACCTATTCCGCGCGGGACGGGCTCGGTGTCACCGAAGTCCGGGCTACGCGGGTGGGCAGTTTCAAGGATGGAGGGCGGTTGCTTTTCCGCATGTGGCTCTCGTCTCAGCGCCGCTTCAATGCGTCTCACTATCGAAGCTGCCTCAAGGATTGAGAACAGGTCAATTTCACAATGGAGGTCTCGCCTCAACAGCCACGCGCCTTCGCCTCACGAGTGCACCGTGCTGAACAACGGGAGGCGGCTCCTTCTCAACGGGTGGAGGACTGCTCGTGTCTACATGGGTTTATCGCTCGAGGAGTCGCCCGTGCAAAAGTTCCGAACCCTCAACACACGTAGCACTGCACGGATCAAGGACAGCTTTGTTTCAAGATGGAGCTTTCGTTGGAACTTCCTGGAAGGGTATGGCCGCAAGTGCAAAGTTATGGGATGATTACGCGGATGGGAGCGGTCCTTCTTCGAGAGGGCGATCTCGCTGGACACGTCGTTGAACGTATGATCACAGTTTGCCGAGTTCGCGATTGCGCGCCACTAGAAATGAAAGGCAAATCCTTCTCAAAGTAGGTCCGTCGCAAAAACTCGCAGGCCCAAGCGTGCTGGTCGTTTGAGGGGGAGGCGCTTCTTGGAGTGAAAAGGAAAGCTCGGGGACTTAGGCCGGGAGGGTGTATTGCAACATCTTTGATGCATCGTTGGTTCACTCTGGTCTTCCTCCTCCTGCTCCTCCTCCTCCTTGCTTCCGTCCTTGTCCCCCTCCACCTCCCCCTTCCCCTCCTCCTCCTCCTCCTCCTCCTCCTCCTCCTCCTCCTCCTCCTCGCTTCCTTCCTCACCCCCCCCTTCACCTCCTCCTCTTCATCCTCCTCCCCAGGCTCCTCGTTCCGCCGCCCGACCATCACGTTCTGCAGCGACGGATTGATCAGCCAGAACCTCGGCCGCGGACAGAAGGGCCACAAGGTGGAAGTGACGAAAAGGCGAGAGGAGGAGGGAGGGAGGGAGGGAGGGGGGTAAGAGGGCAGAGGAGGAGGAGGAGGAGGTAGAGGAGGAGGACCGTCGCCCGGCTTTGGAACGTAACGGCGTCGACGTGGGCTTACGACTTGAATGCGGTTGCGCCACGTTGGACCAGTTGCTCGAGTGGGATTGGGATGTTTAGCTCCAGAGCGCTGTCAAGGAAGCAGGAGGGAGAGAAGGTGAGCAGGGGAAGGAAGGGGGGGGCAGAAAGTAAGACGAATGGAAAGAGGAACTTCGTCTCGGCCCGGACGTCCGAAAAGGCTCTTGCTGAGCGGGCAGATGGCGAAATATCCCAGACAAGGGCTGAGACTAAAGACGGAGGAGGCAGGGAATGGAGATGGGCGTCGGAGCTGGCAATGGTCGCCGCGGTGGGAGTGGTGGTCGTGCGGGTGGTGGTAATGGTCCGTGCCGTCGGTGCTCGCGCTTGGCTGTTCACGCCGCGCAGGGCAACGGTGGATGTTCCGCCAAGCGGTGGAAATCATAGCTGACCGCCCGGCCTCTGGCGAGTCCAAGCCGTAAGAACGCACGAGAGGACCAGCTTGTCAACCGACCGGCCCCCGGACTCCAAGACAGCCGGGTTCAGCTCCGGACGGGGGGTAGCACGTCCGCTTTCCGTCGGCAACCTGGGCAAGCGCCACCCCATCCGTGCGAGCCCTGACCTGCCCGCGACCGTTCTTGTCGCTGTTTTCGCAGGTGACAGACCAGCCCACACAGATGGGAGCGGTGGTAGCGGGGTCGCGCGTGGACACATCGAGGGTGGCCTCCTCCCACGTGCCCGTGCCGGGGTGCTGGCGGTCCAAAGCGGGGACGCTCTGTTCGCTGGTGGCCCATAGGCCAGTCTGAGCGTAAAGCCGCGGCGTACTCCAGCCCCGCTGTCTCCGCACCCGCCCGCCCTCCCTCCCTCTCTCTCTCTGTCTCTCTCATGTTGTTTTGGTATATCTCTTCCTGCGTATGTGCATACATCTATATATATATATATATACACCCATAGCACACCTCCCCACCTATATGTATAAAAAAATGTATATACCACATCTCTCTTATATATATATATATATATATATATATATATCCACATAGCACACCTCCCCCTCTCACTCACACGCACTCCCCGAAGGCGGGCCGTCTTCAACATCGCGTTCGATGCTGGAGACGGCCCAGGCTGACATTCACATTCCTCCTACGATTTGTCTTCCGCCACCTCGCTCCCCAGCCCCCTGCCTTCAAGCAACATGTGTATAGACCGAGAGAGCAGCGAAACATATCGTCTCCCCGATCTGGCAAGACAAACAATCGTCACAACTGCCGTGCCTCAAAATCGACCAGAGCTCCCAGTAGCTCACTCGAAATCCACAGCCAAGTTGCAAAAATGGGAAACCGATCCAAGAGCATCAACACGGAAACAAGTGCTGCGGAATCAGGCCGCCACTATGCACTGGGGATGGGCCGAAGAGGCAAGGATGAGAGAGTAGCAGCGAATGCGCTGAATTCCTTATCATGACATGCATTTCGACTGTACACCAGCATGCGGGTCTCCAACCACACCACTATGAGCGAGCAAAGCGAGCCTCTCTGCCCGTCTGCCTGCATCGTTCCTTCTCTCCCCCACGCCGAGGCCAGAACGGGCAGGTGACGCCAACGACGTAGTCCACGCAAGTCACCTGTGGCCCGGAATGCTGAACGCGAATGAGAAATGCTGAAGCGTTCGAGAATGCTGAGTTGTGTTCAGGAGCTGAGCGCGAATGAGAAAGATGGATCTGCCAGTGTTGGCTCCTGGCGAAGGGGCGCAGCGGTCAATGCAGATCAGGGCAGGCACGATGCCCTCCTGAGGTGTGACAATGGCGATGAGAGGGCACAGAGAGAGGGAAGTGAGAAGGCGGGGCGGAGGAGGGCGACGACGAAGAGGAGGAGAAGGACACATCAAAGGAGGAAGTGAATTGGCGGAGGAGTAAAGCAGGAGGAGAAGCAGGAGGAGAAGCAGGGGGAGGAGCAGCAAAGGAACAGGAGGGAGCAGAGTCATGCTGCATCCCAGGGATAAATGGCAAATGCCGATACTGCAAATGCACGTCTGTGAACCAGATGAGTCTTCGCTCATCGCCCCCGCGGGGAAGGATCAAAGAAGGAGGAGCAGCAGGAGGACGAAGGTGGTCCGTCCCTCCTCCTCCTCCTCCTCCTCCTCCTCCTCCTCCTCCTCCTCCTCCTCTTCCTCCTGCGCCTCATCCTCCTCAGACTCAGTTCCCGATGCGCAACGCAGCACTTTTTTTCCGCAGGCAGCATTCCAGGCAACTGCCACACTGAAAGAAGCTGAAGAGACAGAGGCCGGCGGGGAGCACGACGGGAAGGAGCGAGGCGAGGCGAGGAGAGGCGAGCAGAGAGCGGGCCAGAGGAAAGCGGAGCGGAGCCATACACAAGCTGCACCAGGGGCATGTACAAGCCTGCGCCGGACATTTCGGGTCTCATCGAGTCGTATCCCCTCGGCGGTAAGCCCGCCCCAAACAACTGGAGTACCAAAAACTGGCCCGCTATACTGAGGGGAAGAGCGAGCCATTCTCCTGAGATAACAGCACGGATGTCTATGTGCCACGCTGGCGCCGAACATCTGCCAGCCCAGATGATGACAGACTACCGCCAGGCGGCTCCAACAGTTGGCTCCACCACCGATCTACATTCATGGTGTGATTCGCTGAAAGGTCCGCTATGTTGTTCCAGCAGCGCCGAAGCCACGTGGACAGGATTAGCGCCGCGTCGGTACGGCTGCCAACCGCCTTCGACCAACGCGAGGAATTTCCCTGTCACCTGGATGAAACATGGGATCAGGTCACTGTTCAGAAGCGTGGTCTCCCCATTGATAATGCCGGTAGGAGGTCTGCAACGCGCTCGGCGACGCCCACCCCTCCCGCGCAACTAAACTTGCCCGAATCTGGAAACAAGGGCGCCCAACTTCGCGCTTCGCGCTCCGCGAAGCGCGAATAACTTCGCGCTCGCGCGCCGCTCCGCCGAAGGGAGAAAAGGAGGACGAGGAGGAGGGGGAGAAGGAACGAGGAGGTAGTCAGTCAGAGGTACGACTTCCCCATGGGAGTCGGCGGACCAGGGCAACCTCCGACGGGACCACACTGCAAATTCGAGATCTCTCACACTCCTCGCACTCATGCTCCAACTCCCTCCGCGACAAAGACCACGACCATGACGACGAGGGCCAAGACCATGACAACGACAGCAACTACGACGACGACGACGACGAACTTCTTCCGGCTCCCGCGCAGCCGAACCGAAAAAAACAAACCTAAGGAACAGCGAGGTGGGAGGGGGAGGAGGAGGTACAAGGGAGGCAAGTAAGCAGGAAGGAAGGGGGAGGAAGAAAAGGAGGAGGAGGAGGGGAGGGAGTCGCAAGAGGAGCAGGAGGAAGACACTGAAGACGACGGCGAGGGGGAGATGAGGGGTTGATTCGACCTCTACGGCACCATGCCCCCAATCAAGAGGGCCACGGTGAAGGAAGGACCCTCACGTCCCTCTCCCATGTATCGTGCTGGGGATGCACGCCACGACAGAAATCCCGAGGAGGGCGACTTGGGACAACGGCAGCTCAAAATCGGTCCCGGGACCCCTCCAGGGGGCCAAGCGCGCCAGTCTTCCGAGCTGCGCCCCGCCGTGGCGACGAGCGGCCCCTCCGACGGCCACCTAGCGCTGCCTCAGCTCGCCTGCCCTGAGAAGTACCGCCAGAAGGAGGGAGGGCGGCGGGGCGGGAGCAGCGGCGCCTGCATGGTAGGCGTGCTCATGCCCACGACCTGCATGTCCACCTGCTGAGCGCGCCCTGCGCACGAGGCGCAGATGTTGTAGATCGGATCGCTCCACCTGCGGCGAAGAGGCCAAGGGTCCCCTCTCCTCCTGTCGCTGTCGAAGCGGGCTGGTCCAGGTCGAGCCTCGGCGCCCTCGCTGCTGCCTTGTCCTCCTCCTCCTCCTCTTCCTCCTCCTCCTCCTTCTCCTCCTCGTCCTCCTCCTCCTCCTCCTCCTCCTCCTCATCCTCCTCCTTCGAGCTTCGAACTGCAGCAGAAAGCTAGTTCCCCGAGCAGATGCGGCCCTCACCCCTCCCCAACTCGAAACGCAGGGGGGGGAAACCAAAGAGGTGGAGAGAGCGAAAAAGAAACATCCGAGCATAGGAAATACGACGTGATCCGCACAGAAGGGGGTACGAGAGGAGGGGCGGTTGTCTCTGGTGGCGGACGGACATGTGCAGAGAAGGCCCAAGCGTGGACCCCAGCCACCCTTCCTCTTCCTCTTCCTCCTGTTCCTCCTGTTCCTCCTCCTCCTCCTCCTCCTCGCACTCCTCCTCCCCCTCCTCGTCCTCCTCCTCCTCTCCTCCGCCTCCTCCCCTCCTCCGTCTCCTCCTCCTCCTCCTCCTCCTCCTCCTCCTCCTCATGCTCCTCCTCCTCCTGCTCCTCCTCCTCCTCCTCCTCTTCCTCCTCTTCCTCCTCCCCTCCTCCTCCTCCTCCTCCTCCTCTCATCCTCCTCCTCCTCCTCCTCCTCCTCCTCCTCTTCTCCCCCCCTCCTCCGCCTCCTCCTCCTCCTCCTCCTCCTCCTCCTCCTCCTCCTCCCCCTCCTCCGCTTCCTCCTCCTCCTCCTCCTCCTCCTCCTCCTCCGCCTCCTCCTCCTTCCCCTCCTCACCCTCATCCGCTCCTCCTCCTCCTCCTCCGTCCTCCCCCTCCTCCTCCTCCTCCTCCTCCTCCTCCTCCTCCTCCTCCTCCTCCTCCGTCCTCTCGTCCTCCTCCTCCGTCCTCCTCCTCCGCCTTCTCCTCCTTCCTTCTCGTCCTCGTCCTCCTTGTCCTTCGCCTTCTTTTCCGAGTGGTCCTCCTAATCCTCCCCTCCCTCCTCCCGTTTCATATAATCCTGTTCCTCCTCGTGTTTTCCTCGTCCTCCTCCTCCTCGTCCTCCATTTCATCGTGTCCGTGCTCTTCCTCATCTTCCTCCTCTCCCCCCCCCCCTCCTCCTCCTCCCTCCTCATCCGCCTCCTCCTCCTCCTCCTCCTCATCCTCCTCCTCCTCCTTCTCCTCCTCATCCTCCTCCTCCGCACCCCTCCCGTCCAGAACACCCGAATGCAAAAGGCGAGAACCAAACACATCCTCAACGGCGGGCGCAGGAGGGGACGGGGGCGATAAAGATAGGTGGCCAGGACTAATAGTAGTACTAGCGGTAGTAGTAGTAGTAGTAGTAGTAGTAGTAGTAGTAGTAGCAGTAGCAGTAGTAGTAGTAGTAGTAGTAGTAGTAGTAGTAGTAGTAGTAGTAGTAGTAGTAGTAGTAGTAGTAGTAGTAGTAGTAGTAGTAGTAGTAGTAGTAGTAGTAGTAGTAGTAGTAGTAGTAGTAGTAGTAGTAGTAGCAGTAGTAGTAGTAGTAGTAGTAGTAGTAGTAGTAGTAGTAGTAGTAGTAGTAGTAGTAGTAGTAGTAGTAGTAGTAGTAGTAGTAGTAGTAGTAGTAGTAGTAGTAGTAGTAGCCGTAGTCGTAGTAGTCGTAGTAGTAGTAGTAGTAATAATAGCAGCAGCACCGTTGTAGTAGTAGTACAGCAGCAGCAGCAGCAGCAGCAGCAGCAGCAGTAGTAGTAGTAGTAGTAGTAATAGTAGCAGTGGTGGTAGTAGTAGTAGTAGCAGCAGTAGTAGTAGTAGTAGTAGTAGAAGTAGTAGTGGTAGTAGTAGTAGTAGTAGTAGCAGTCGTAGTCGCATTCGCAGTCGTAGTCGTAGTTGTCGTAGCAGTAGTCGTGGTGATAGTAGTAGTAGTAGTAGCAGTAGTAGTAGTAGTAGTAGTAGTAGCAGTAGTAGTAGCAGTAGTAGACGTAGTACTAGTACTAGTACTAGCAGTAGCAGTAATAGTACTAGTAGTACTAGTAGTCGTAGTAGTAGTAGTCGTAGTAGTAATACTAGTACTAGTAGTAGTAGCAGTAGCCGTCGCAGTAGTCGTAGTCGTAGTCGTAATGGGAGTAGTAGTAGTAGTAGTAGTAGTAGTAGTAGTAGTAGTAGTAGTAGTAGTGGTAGTAGTAGTAACCATCGAAAGAAGTGTACCAGTTGCAATCGTAATAGTAGTCGTAGTCGCCGTGGTAATAATAGAAGTAGTAGTAGCAGCAGCAGTAGCAGTGGCAGTAGCAATGCCAGTACTGGTAGATTGTAGTAGTAGTAATAGTAATAGTGGTACCAGTAATAATAATAGTATTAGTCGTAGTAGTAATCGTAGTAGTAGTAGTAGTAGTAGTAGTAGTAGTAGTAGTAGTATTAGTAGTAGTAGTAGAAGTAGTGGTGGTAGTAGCAGTAGCAGTAGCAGCAGCAGTAGCAGTAGCAGTAGCAGTAGCAGCAGCAGTAGCAGTAATAGTAGGAGTAGTAGTAGTAGTCGTAAAAAAAAAGTAGCAGTGGTACTAGTGTTAGTAGTAATAGTAGTAGTAGTAGTAGTAGTAGTAGTAGTAGCAGTAGTAGTCGTAGTCGTAGTCGTATTAGTAGTAGTAGAAGTAGTAGTAGTAGTAGTAGTAGTAGTAGTCGTCGTCTTCGCAGTAGTAGTAGTAGTAGTAGTAGTAGTAGTAGTAGTAGTAGTAGTGGTAGTCGTAGTAGTGGTAGTAGTAGTAGTAGTGGTAGTCGTAGTAGTGGTAGTAGTAAGGGGTGGTAGAAGTAGTAGTAATAGCAGCAGCAGCAGCAGTAGTAGTAGTAGTAGTAGTGGTAGTAGTAGTAGTAGTAGTAGTAGTAGTAGTAGTCGTAGTCGTAGTCGTATTAGTAGTAGTAGAAGTAGTAGTAGTAGTAGTAGTAGTAGTAGTCGTCGTCGTCTTCGCAGCAGCAGTAGTAGTAGTAGTAGTAGTAGTAGTAGTAGTAGTGGTAGTCGTAGTAGTGGTAGTAGTAGTAGTAGGGGTGGTAGCAGTAGTAGTAGCAGCAGCAGCAGCAGTAGTAGTAGTAGTAGTAATAGTAGTAGTAGTAGTAGTGGTAGTAGTAGCAGTGGTAGTAGCAGTCGCTGTTGTCGTAGTGTTCGTAGTCGTAGTAATGGTAGTAGTAATAGTAGTAGTAGTAGTAGTAGTAGTAGTAGTAGTAGTAGTAGTAGTAGTCTTAGTCGTAGAGGTAGCAACAGTAGTAGAAGTTGTGATATTCGTAGTAGTGGTAGTAGTAGTAGTAGTAGTAGTAGTAGTCGTAGTAGTAGTAGTAGTAGCAGTAGTAGTAATAGTAGTAGTAGTAGTAGTCGTAGTAGTAGTAGTAGTAGTAGTAGTAGTAGTAGTAGTAGTCCCACTAGCAATACGAATAATAATAACTATAGTAATGTAGTAGTAGTAGTAATAATAATGGTCGTAGCAGTAGTAGTCGTCCGCCGGCCCCCTTGCGGGGCCATCAGGCTGCGAGGAGAAAGGTTGCTGCTCCCTGTGCCATTTCCAGTTTCCAGTTTCCATTGCTACAATACTGAGTTCTGCTTCCGACTGTAAATTGTTACTGTCCGCGCGAGGGGGGGGAGCCGAAAAGCGCCCTGGTTAGCGTCCCCTGAGAGGGTTCTCAGAATGTCTGGGGGGGGGCGTGGGACACGTAAAAATATTGTAGTCTCGCGCCTCCCAAGCCATAATCCATAGTAAATTACGCGGTGTTCGCGCCCCCGAGGCCACGATCCCCCGTAAATGACGCCACACTCGCGTCTCCGAGGCCACGATCCCTTGTAATTTACACCGCCTTTGCGTTTCCGAGGCCACGATCCGTTGCAAATTACTCCACATTCGCGCCCTCGAGGCAACGATCCTTCATAATTTACGCCACATTCGCGCCCCCGAAACCACGATCCCGCATAATTTACATCATGCTCGCGCCCCCGAGGCCACGGCTCCTTACTACAAATTCGCGCCCCTGACGCCAAGATCCCTTGTAAATTACGCAGCGGGCGCGCCCCCGAGGCAACGAATCCGCCTTGCGGATGCTGCCGAAAAGGCGCTCCCCCTCTCCAAAGCAGAAAAATGTAATGTTCTGTATTGGGATATGTGTTCCGCTGGTATTCGGTTGCCCCCTCCGTTTCTGGAAAATTCGGCGGTGGGTTCCACATTCACCCCCCCAGGCCACGATCCCTCGTAAGTTACGCCACACTTGCGCCCCCGAGGCCACGATCCCGCGTGAATTACGCTACATGCGCGCCCCCGAGGCCATGATCCCTTGTAAATTACGCCGCTGGCGTGCCCCCCAGGCCACGATTCCTTTGTAAATTACGCCGCATTCGAGTCCCCGAGGCCACGATCTCCCGCAAATTACACCAAATTCGCGCGCACCCCCCACGCTACGAATCCACCTCGCGGAAGCTGCCCAAAGGCGCCACTCCTTCCCCAGAGCAAAAAATAACCTTCCCAGAGACTGCCTGAAGCAATCCCCAGCCGTTCCCTGAGCGCTCCCAGTGGACAACTGGAGGAAGATGCCCGGAAGGCAACACAGCGTTCAACAACAACTTGAACATCTCAATCTGTTTTGCTCATCGCCAGCCGCCCTCGCATGACGCTCCCGAATGTCATCAAGACGGCGCCCGAAGATCCCAATATAGCTCTGATGTATCCCATTATGATAGAGAGGGGGCTGGCGGCAGGGGGCGAAGCCCTTACGGATAGTAGTAGTAGTAGTAGTAGTAGTAGTAGTAGTAGTAGTAGTAGTAGTAGTAGTAGCAGTAGTAGTAGTAGTAGTAGTGGTAGTATTAGTAGTAGTAGTAGCAGTAGCAATCGTAGTAGTAGTAGTAGTAGTGGTAGTGGTTATAATAGTAGTAGTAGTAGTAGTAGTAGTAGTAGTAGTAGTAGTAGTAGTAGTAGTAGCCGTCGTCGTCGTAGTCGTAGTAATACTCGTCGTAGTAGTACTAGTAGTAGTAGTAGTAGAGAAGAA